GATTTGAAGACATTTGCGTATTTTGAGAGAGCGCGTGCGGTGATTCACTCACGCTGTTTGTGAAATTACGTCTCACACAAGGTTTTCAAATTACTTTATAAGTTATTTAATGTATAAATATTATAATTATTTCACCCGCGCCGGACAGAGACTGAGACGGTGCCGCTGCATGTCATGCCAAACCTCTCACGGCAGCGTCATCAGCTTGAGATCGGCCTTTTTAGAGACCGCCGATCAATCATTCCAACGTGATTATCGGCCGATAGTGATCGGTAGTCGATAAATCGGAACACCCCTAGTAAGCAGATATTACTAGCTAAACAAACTTCATCATGCATTGTTCTGATGTGTCCAAATGTAAATGATATTGCTTTACCAATCATTAGTTTAGTATGGTCATTTTTTTTTACTACTAAGCAATGTTTAACTGTTTAAGTAAGCAAGAATGTTTGTTAAGTATGTACAATGGGGTTGTGCATACACTGAGTTGACCAAGTATTTACTTTTTTGTAGCGTATGAAATGCTGACTCCATTTCTTTTCAAATGGTACCAATTCGTCTATACTAGGGCTGCACGATAAATCGCATGCGATATTTAACGCGCATCTTGTCAGAAAAGCCGGTTCTGTAATCAGCGGTAAATCTCCATCACATGCGTGCTTTCACATGGAGCAGCATTAACTACACAGAGCCGTTGTTCACTGACGAGCTGCGCGAATATGAACGTGGTTTTGCGCAGCGCGTCAGTGAACCACGGCTCTGTGTAATTAATGCTGCTTCATGTGAAAGCCCGCAGGTGATGGAGATTTACCGCTGATTACAGAACCGGCTTTCTGACAAGATACGCGTTAAATATCGCATGCGATTTATCGTGCAGCCCTAGTCTATACCATATATTTTTTGGTCATTTGATTTTTTTTTTTTAATTCTTTGTTATCATTAATATTGGGCAATGCATGCGCATTTTCCTTTTTACATTTTAATTTTCTTTTGTCGTCATCTGATGCTAACTTCAAGTTTATCTTTTAAAGACCACAAACTTTGGTTAACCTCTTAAACTAGGCTGAGAGAGTATGATTCAGGCTATTCTTTCTTCCCAGCATCACTTTTGCATTTTGTGGCTGGCAAATGAGGATTATTAGAAAGCACTTAGTTGTTAAAAGAAAACACTGATTTATATGGCAAAGCATACTGTATATGCAAATCTGATGGGTGGGTTAATCAAAATCTGAGAATGTGATTGGTTCAAGCTTTTTTTCCCCCCCACACTTCAGTGTCTGTTCACATGATCGTCACGGCAGCCCAAGTCTGAACATGTCTGAAGGAACGGATATACGTGGGCCCAAGAGTGACAAACATAGGCAAACCTGCCATTCGCTCTAGTCTGTTTTTTTAGCTCGCTGGCTTTGATGGTCTACACACCGTTTATGGCCTTCAGACCAAAGGCCACACACCAGGAACTGACCATCATAAAACCTATGGGTGGCCAACCTTAGAAGGTCAACTTAGTTTGACTAGGACTACATATACTCAACGCTTTGTGAACATTCTATTTGTTTTACTACCTAAAAAGCCTAAAATGTAATAATTTTTTAGAAATCAGCATACAGCTAATGTACAAATATATTAAAGTCCAAAGAGTCTGGGCTGGATGTTCTTGTAAGTTAAAAATTGCATTTGCTGGAGGTTAATATAAAATAACACAAAGAAAAATGGGATGCACCAATATTAAAATTCTGGCAAATAATTATATTCATGTTATGGCCAATAATCAATAAATAGCCAATATTATTTCTATACTATTATACTATTTATTAAGTTTATTCTATGTCTAAATACATTTTTTTTTTTACTAAAAATCAACCATTTAAAATGCAAAATAGGCATTGGAACTTCAGTGTACAGTATGAAAAAAATTAATGCTCATTTTGAGATTTGACAAGATTACATTTAACCGTTTGTTTATCTTCTGCTTTGATGAATCATCCCTAGTAAGGGATGGTCTGACATGAACTTCCTCTCCAGTATAGGAAGTGCGATTCATGAGCTTTTGGCTGTAGTTGGAAATCAGTGCCGGACAATGAGAAGAAGAGAAGGAGACGCTCTAAACGTCTTTATCTGTAATCTGAACCCAACCAGCAGCTGCTGCTACACTTGTCCAGCCCTGTCGTTCTCTCACTGCTGACTGTGTGTGTGTTATTGAGAAGGAGCCGAATACACTGAAGAGTATTCGGTGTGTACGCTCTTGCGTGAGTGAAGGGTGGGTGTGTTGTGGAGGCTGCCTGGAGGGATACGATCCCTGGGGGCGACTATTGCCAACAAGTGTTCCAGCTGCAACAGTTTCCTAACAAATCTCACATTCTAAGTTGTGTTCGACAGGAAAAACAGTTGGAGGACATTTGTTGAAAGAGCTTGGTGCATTAGTTCAAATACTAAAAAGGGAATTCTTGCTCTTGTAAATACTTTAATTATAAGTCATTTTGCCCTCACTCTTAAAAATTAAGGCTCCAAAAGGAGGTTTTTGCATCTGTGCCATAGAAGATCCACCTTGGGCTCCTCAGAGAACCTTTAGTTAAACAGTTCTTAAAAGGACCATTTTTTTTCTTAGTGTGAAAAACATTTAAAAAATCCATTATAAAAATTACCATTATAATGAACCTTGGAGAGTTTCAATGGATGCTGAAGGTTCTTCATGGAATCATTGGTGCCAATAATCGCACTGTGTGAAATAGCCTACAGACAGAACAGTGGCTCAAAACCGCTGTATAAGCATATGATACGCAAACTACAGCTCTCGGTTGGATAAAAGAAGCCAGTGTTGCATTAGCAAGGTTTTGATGAATGACGATTGTGATCAAGGTAAAGATGATTATAGTAACATACAGGAGTCGTGCATTAGGCCCACGTTTATCCGTTATTATTGATGCGCAAACAAACCATGTATGTGCGCTCATGACGCATCTAAAACATCGTATTTCTGCTTGAACACAGTTCAGTATATTCACATGGATGTCAAAATTAATGTACAGTGAGTGTTTTATAACGGATGCTCGCCGAAGAAGTGTGTTTTGGAGAAGTTTGTGAGGATCAGTGGTGTTTATGTACATATGGGTATCAGACGCTCCAAAAAGCTTGTTCTGACAGAGCACCTGTCTGTTGACTGATGACATCGAGCAGCCTTCAGATCGCTGCGTTTCCACACATTTCGAATGGTTTAATTTTTCATTTGTATTTTGGTGTGTTTAGTGATTCTGAATAGATCCGTATAGTGGCTTTATGCAGTCCTTTGGTGTCTCCCTGTGGTCTTTTTTTGTATGGGAGGTTGACTTGTGCTTATTTGTTAAAGTTACTGTATAATCTAGCTTCACATACTTTTAAGTTGTAAAGAATATCTGCAGTGACATTCTTGCGAAGTATTTTTGCAAATATAGAACAGTATGTTTAAGTCTATCTTGAAGTTGGTTAGTTTAAAAATAATTAGGCCTACATGGAATTAAAAGGTAATTACACTAGAATTAACTTTTTTTTTTTAAATAGAAGAGGTTGGGGGTGGGGGTGGGCTTGAAATATTGACTCGGAGAGGAGGTGGGCCTTGATTGGTCTTGGTTGAGAACCACTGGTGTAGGCTATACTCTTAAAAATAAAGGTTCTTTATTGCCATTGATGGTTCCATAAAGAACCTTTAACATCCATGGAACCTTTCCAAGGTTCTTTATAGTGGAAAAGGGTTCAAATGTTCTTCAGACTAAGAAAAAATTGTCTCTCTTCAGAACTGTTCATTGAAATGTTCTTTGAGGAACCACAAATGGTTCTTCTATGACATTGCTGAGAAAACCCCCTTTTGGAACCTTTGTTTTTAAGACTGAAGAACATTTAAAAAATCTAAAGAACCTTTTTCAATTATAAAGAACCTTGGAAAGGTTCCATAGATGTTGAAGGTTCTTTATAGAACTGTTGATGCACTAAATAACCTTTATTTTTAAGCGTGCAGGCTAGTCGTGACACCTTAGCTCAGTTCCGCCAGGTCTTCTACATCTCTATTGTTAGGTTTCATATCTGACAGGAGTGTCCAACAGAAGGAAAAACAGATGGTAGGTTGTGGTCGTTAGGTTGGCTCCCATTAACTTCCCCCGCATCCCTTATTTTGCTGGCAGGACAGCGTGAAGACCTCCCTCCTGGACAGGATCCTCCACTCGCTTGTTTCCCGCCTGGGATGACTAACTCGCAGATGGACTCCAGCGCTTGCTCCATGCACTGGAAAGTCCCTCCGCTCCTCTGTCAGTTAGCGGAGACCCTGAAATGTTATAAGATGACTTATTGAGACTAGAAGAGACTTTATGAAACCCAAGATGTGGAGATGCAGGATGAGTTCTGTTGAGAGCTTCTTTGAGAAACCTAGCACATTTACGCAAATGGGACTGTGATTGTGACCGCCTGACTTCTCGTAAAATTGTTTTGAGATAATGGAAAGCCCAGATTTGGATTAAATCCCACGGTTGAGTCATGAATCTCTCTCTGATTAACCTGATTTCTCCTGAGAATCCTCCATTTCTTCGTAAAAGAGGATGATGTTTAAACTGATAAATAGGATCACATTTCTAGTTGTGACCGTATTTATTCTATTTCTATTTATTCTATTCTATTTCTTGTTTAATTTAAAAAAAGTCCATTATATTTCATTGTTTGTGTGTATGTATATAATATATACATTCACTCACACATCCAATGAAATACAATGGACTTTTTTTAAAACTAGAAATAGAGGGAAAAAAATAAAAAAAGAGTGTATATATATATATATATATATATATATATATAGTTCAAATAGTTTATAGTAGGCCTACATTATTTTTTTTTATTTCAGATTGATATTAGGTTGATATTATAGATATCCAATTCAAAAGTTTTTTAAATGTAAATTATATTTTGAAGCTGATAACCAATACTGGCTTCAAAATACAACAATTTATAAGTGATTATTTTAAGAAGTTTTGGTTAAAATTAAATTGACTTGCTGGACAATTTTATATTTCTCATTCTTTTTCACTTCCTGGCAAAGACAGGAAGCCTTTTTAGCGCTAATGCAGCATAATTGATAATGGTTCATGTTTTATCTGTGTATTTTATCCCTCTCATTCTGTCACAGAGAATGATGGGAAATGTAGTTTGGTGCACAAGTGTGTTTCTTCATAAACCAAGCTTTATTGCTATTCTTCATCAGCAGTACATAATATGTACTAGCTAAATTACACTTAAACTACAGTTTATTATGATAATTAGCAATTATTTCCACCATTTAATCAACATGCCTGCAGCTGAAGTAATAGCTTAAATTCAGTGAAATTTTAATCTAGATCTTTTCACCATAACTACAGAAAACATGTATATCAGCTGTGTAATTTGATGCGCTAAGTCATGAATTCACCATTCACTTCTTGTTCAGTCCTCTGTTTCTTGTACATGTGCATCTTGTGTGTGACCACAATGTCTGACTTTGAGTCATAAACAACCTCTCTGAGAGGAAAATCCGAAAAGGCCACCAAGTAAACCTCAATCAGTGCCCCTTTCCTGGAACGGCCTTATGTCTAAGTCTTTATGATTCTGGTAAGAAAAATACAAAATGAATGTTAATTCCATAAGTATGCGCTACTGAAATCACTGTGAATCACATACAGCACCCTAGCATAGTGGCACTAAGTTTTCTACACTTATTTTGCTTTAATTCTCGGTCATAGTCTTTTATAACTCAGTTTTGGCTGTTTTGTATTGTAGGCCTAATGCAATGTAGCTCAGGCTTGAGGTTAAATGTTTGCAGTGTGTGACTGGATAAAAAGTCTGTACAGGATATTAAGTTTATATTTGAGAAACTAATGTGTAATTGTTTCAAATGTTGGTTCTACTGCAGGATTAGAAATTTTGTAACTTCTCTGGGGAACATCCAGTGACTGTGACCATCCTGATTACATGGGATGAACGGTGTTGCGTGTCACCTGAGAGGCAAATGCAATTTGGAAGTGCATCGCTAATTGTCCTCCCCGCAGCGTTAGATTGCGCTGAGGTCTGAGGCCTGCAATGTCGAAAAGTAATTAGGCCGCTCACATATTCCAATGCTCTCCCGGCCGTTGTTTTGCTCATTCTGTGTCTTTGGGCTGCCAAGTCAAGCTTATTCTTTCAGTGTGCGTGTAACCAGAGCATTTGAATATCCCCAAAGGAAGGTCTCAATCGGAGTCGGCCGTATTTACCCAAGCTGCGTTTTTTCGTCAACATCAGCAGAAAGTGAAATAAAAGAATGAAATATGTGGGCACACCAGTGACTCCTGGGACCCGATCCTCATGAACAATACCATGCGAAAAAGAGGCAGCCTGAAAAACGCTTAAGATCCCTTAACCATTTTCAGACATTTAGACGGCCACATTGGACCGCGCGCTCCTGACCACAAGCATTTTTGCAGGCTAGTCCTAATTATCTAATCCTTTTAAATGGAGCTTTATATATTCTCTAAAATTCATTTGTCGTTTTGGAAGTGTTTGAAAAGAGGAAATGGTAATAAGAGTCACAGTTGCTGCTGTCTTCATCAGCCAGTGCCCAAAACTGTGGGTGCACACGACTAAAGGGGAGCGGTTTTGAAAGAGGATTTATTAGCTTAATCTTTATGTCCACAATAAAGTAACATTCTCTTTCTCTCTGCCTCTCTTTCCTTGTTTCTTTTTCGCAGTACTTGTGTAGCGTGGGGGCTCGTGCCAGGGCCCGGTAGGAGCCGGCACCATTGCGTCCAACAAGTGGAGTGCCAACGGCAGCCCGGAGCAGGGGCTGGAGGATGGGGGTGATGAGCTGGACAAGGCCCTGGATGGAGACGCCGAGGGCGTGTGGAGCCCCGACATCGAGCAAAGCTTTCAGGAGGCGCTGGCTATATATCCGCCCTGCGGCCGGCGCAAGATCATCCTGTCGGACGAGGGAAAGATGTACGGTAAGTGAGCTTGCAATGCATTTGTGTGCCGAAGGGGAAGTTGTGATGCACAAAATCCTTTTACATCAACATTCGACAAGTCCAGGGCTCAACGCTAAGGATTTTTTCTACTGGCCCGATTGGGCCAGTGGTTCAAATTTTTACTTGCCCTGCCAACATTTGCACTGGCCCTGCCACAAAAAATAAAATAGTCACTGCTATCATTGTTTTTGATCTACGTTATCTTGTATTCTAATAAATAAGCTTATATGACACCAATATTTTAGATACCAATTAAATTTTAAAATTCTCTGTGTTAAATAAAAATTTCGATACCACAGCAAAAACCACTAGCCAAAAATAAATATAAAGTTCAAACATTATTAAGGACAAGTGAACAGCCAGTAAATAATTACAAGTAAAAGCACAATTAAAAATATAGCACAAAGATAGAAATAAAATGATGCTTTAGCTTTTTATGTTTGTAGATGTTCAGGTCCAGAAACTGAAAAATCACATAAAATATAATTTTCATATTCTTCACTCTGCGTTGCACCTTGATTTTTCAATAATTTGAAATTAGAGGCTACCACTGCATTTTAATCATGAATTGATCCCAAAAAAAGTGCAATGTTTGATTTATGTTAGACTGCTAGTCATAACATAACAATCAAATGTTAACAACATGCTAGTAACATGTTAATCATGCTAGAATCATGTTAGCAAAATGTTAGTAACTTGCTAATTATGCTAACAACATGCTAGTAACACGTTAATCATGCTAGAAACATGCTCTTTGTCCTGTTGCTTGTAATTAGTTTCTTATTATTATTTAATCGCTGACTGTTTACTTGTCTTTTTTGTGATACTTACACTCGTGGTGACAAGAATTATTAAATTTCTATGGTATCAAAAATTTTGATATCATAAAGACCTTATATTTAAAGCAAAAATAACTATCTTGTGATATATATTGTTACCGTAAAATAAAATTACTCTCATTTTCATACTCTCAAGATTTTGGTCATATCGCCCACCCCTAGCTGCAACTATCATTTATTTTGTTAACTGGTTAATATGGTTTCTCACATTTTATTTCCTTTCATATTGTTATTGATGATAGCGTGTTATTCCACATCTGGCCCAACATTGTCTTCCAAACAACAGGCAAATTGAATCTGACTTTTAAAAAGTGTGAGAACATACTGATTGTACTGATTGGTTGTTGCAGCCCTGTTTATATCATTAAAAATGAATCACTGCCAGTATGAATTGTGTTGTTGTTGTACTGGGTAGCCCAGTCCTCATGTAGCTTTTAGCTAACAAATTGATTTATTTGATATAAGGGAAGTAATTATTGGCTTTAAAACTTCTGCCGCCCAAACTGAATTTTGCAGGAACTTTACATTGTATTCATCAATGGAAGAGAGTCTTAAAAACACACACGGTTCAACTGCCGAGATCGTATCGCTGCAGTGCAGTTTTTTTGATGGAGGTTTTTTTGTGCATTTGATGGTTGCAAGACAAGTGTTTCTAGATAGAATGGCTTATGGGAGGGGTGGCAAAAGGAGGGATGGAAACTAGAGAAAAGATAAGAGGGCGGGAGATAATGGGCTGATAGAGCCGGGTTGTTATAAACGACACGCTTTCATCCACGTACACAATCCACTCGAGGATCCCTTTGTGCATACCTTTGTGAATAAATTCATGCATGTGTACGCTAGGGATGTGCGGGACTAGTCGACTAAACGGTACAGCTCCTACTAGTCGACACTGAAAACAATAGTCGATTACACAACAGAAGAAAAAAAAGAAAAAACAAAAACAGGATTTTATCATTCACATTACCATCATTTTAACATTGCATTTAAAACATTTTAAATAACAAGTTAAAATAAAACGTTTGAAAAATAATACATTATTTTTAAAAGTTTATCTGGGCGGAAACTAAATTTTTACCTCAGACCTCACATGCGTTTTCTTCGTGTCAGTTGCGGCGAGTTCAAAAATGACCATGCGAAAGACGAGAAGGTGTGGGATTATTTTGAATTAGAAGGAAACTGAAAAGGTTTGTGTAAACTGTGTAATGTCAAATTGTCTTACAATAACTCTACTGGAGCCATGCGTAATCATATTCATTACAGACACGTAGGCG